ATTAATCTTTAATAAAAGATTATGTCATATGATTAAATCTCCAGAAATATGTCCAACCAAAATTGGCAAGCCTATTTGGAGCCCTTTTTAAAAATTGGCATCCCATTAGCTATCTTCCAGTCATTTGGTACAGAAGCTGATTTAAATGCTTACAGACTACAGTTAATAGCTCCGCAATTTCACATTTGAGTTCCTTCAGAACTCTTGGGTGAATGCCATCTGGTTCTGGTGACTTATTACTATTTAGTTTATCAATTTGTTCCAAAACCTCCTCTAATGACACCTCAATCTGGGAGAGTTCCTCAGATTTGTCACCTAAAAAGAATGGTTCAGGTTTGGGAATCTCCCTCACATTCTCAACCGTGAAGACCCATGCAAAGAATTCATTTAGTTTTGCCACAATAGCCTTATTGTCCTTGAGTGCTCCTTTAGCATCTCGATTGTCCAGTAGCCCCACTGGTTGGTTAGCAGGCTTCCTGTTTCTGATGTATTAAAAAAAAAAAATTGCTCTTTTTTTTAAGTCTTTGACTAACTGTTCCTCAGATTCTTTTTTGGCCTTCCTAATTATATTTTTACACTTCATTTTCTTTTCTTTTTTTTAAAGTTGTTTTTGGATTTAAATAATCCTGCCTAAGGTTTGCAATTGTAGCATTCTGCCAATGTTTGAGAACCAGAAAGTGAAACTGATGAGAACTACAGATAGAAGTAAATTTACTTTCACTTTCTACTTTTTGTATTATGCAGTTGTTTTAACCTGAATACATTTAAAATTCAAACTCTCTCATATTTTAACATCTTAAATTATGGATAGGAAAATCTGCTTTAAATATTATTTTAACCTGAGAATGCTTCTTTATTTTTACCCAAAGTTAGACTCAAGTCTTGCAAAACTTATCCATGCTCTTATCTTTAAGTACATGAGAAGTTCCTTTGAAGTCATTGGGGCTACTTGTGTGTCTAAAGTTAAGCATTTAAGCATGCAGCATCAGGACCTTATTTAGCATTTATAATTTCACACCTTTTAACCAATGAAATAAGGCCTAGATTAATATATAAATCTATGATAGTACAACTAAATGCAATACCATCTAAGAAACCTACAAAGCTCCTTAACAATTTACTGCTCCAAAAAAGCAGCAGTTTTATAGTGCACTTTAGTCCCATCAGTATGCAACTGCTTATAAAATCCCTTTATTACATGTTTGAAATATGCAAGAATAACTAATTAAGTTCTCGTTCTAGAATATCCAGTATTTAAGCTTGCTAATTTCTGATTCTACGGAAGGGAAGGGGGGAGGCATTTTTTAAAATGCAACAGCATACTAAACAGTTATTTTCCCTCACTTGTTTACTGTTTTGCTGTAGACATGAAATGAGCAAAAAAAATACCAAAAACCAATAACAAGTTCCTCACAGTTACACTATATACATTTTTGTTTTGGAAAAGTGTTATGGTTGTCCCAAGAACAATTCTTATTTGCTATAATCATTGAGAGGAACTTCAAAGATTTTAATCAAATAGTAAGAAAATTATAATAAAAAGTGCTAACTACTCTAAAGTTCCATATATACTTTAGCCAAAACTAAAAACAGTTTTCGAACATCATTTTCATTTAAACTACATTTGAATACAGTTAGCCACCTCATGTAGCTAAAACCAAGATATGTTCACCATCAGATTCAGGAAGTATAGTCAAATCCCAATAGAAGACAACTTGAAATAAGAGAGACTTCAAAATTAATTCATTAAAGAAACACGAAGCAGTACAATTAAGCAGCTGCCCCAGTTGAAAGAGGCCACATTTTAAACAATCTAAAATAATAATTCGCATTTGCCTGTGTAATTTACTGATTTGAATGCATAACTGTGGTAATTGTACATTTAAGTTTGGCACACAACTCCCCACCTGACTTGTTTAAAATTCAGACCTTTAATGACAAAATACTGTATTAAACAGAGACACAAGACAAAAAACTAACTCACTCCACCTCGTTTTCTTCTTTTAATATTTACATTGCAATCTATGATTAGAAGGCTAAATCTTAGAATTTCATATTTTAGCATCTCTTCATTCTGGCTAAATGTTCCCCCCCCCCCCCCCATTAAGTGCAATGTATGCTAAATCTGACCCGATTATGGCTTAATCTTTACCATTCTTTATTATTAGGCTAAAATCATTTCCTGGGAGATATCCCAAAAAAGTAGATCCCGGTTACGTAGTATAGGTTTTATTACCAGGGATTAGCCACAGTTCCGCCAGCAGTGGCCAGCAACTGGCATAGCTATACCAGCACAAATTCAAGTGGAGACAAGGGTAGCCATGAATCACACCAGTTCAGTTTACCCCAATTTCAAGCAAGGGAAAATAGACTTTGCAAATCACATTTTTGTTTGTCTACATTTGGGGGTTGCGTTGTTGCAATGAAACCATTTGCTGGTTACCAGAGTACAGACACTGACAGAGAAATAATTTTACAAATATGTATGTCATCATACTCAATATCTTAGTAAAAATGCATTCAAGAAAAAGGTCATTGTGCCATTTTGTTTCTCTCTTTTTTTAAAAAAAATCAAGCCACTAACCTATCACTACAAATCCCTTTGCTTTGCATAAAATAATCAGCTTACAAATTATAGGTATGTCAACTACCCGATAATTTCTGTCCCTACTTTTAAAATATTAGCAGCAATAATGGTAGAAACTATAAATTTAAAACTATTTATTTAAGAACATCGAAGGTGGATCCTTCAGTCTCTGAAATGATATAAACACTGAAAATCAATAGGAAGCATTTTTTCTTTACATAAAGAAACAAGATCAGTTCTCTTCATTCAAATGCATTACAACCTAGCAGAAATGTTCAAAGTGAAAAATGTTAATTTCAACCAGACCTTGAAGCCAATGATGCTTTTACTGATTTGGGGTCAAATCCCACTCATTTCACTCATGTGAGTAATCCAAATGAACCTAATAGGATTACTTGAACAAGTGCGGAGAGGAGGATTTTACCTTTATTTTCTGACTTTCAAGTAAATTCATAATGTAGAATTTAGGGTCCCAATCCTGCAACTTGCTCTGCATAGGTGAATCCCTGTACCCACACAGAGCCAGCTGTAGGACTGGGGCCTAAAATGATAATTGATTCAGAATACAGTAACCATTTTCTTTCTAGTTTTTGCAGTTATTACACAGAAAATTCCTTGCTACATTCTGTTGAGAGTTTGCTTATGATCTTTTTTGACAATGACAACAGGAACCCTATCTCTGAACTACAATCCCCTGTTAACCACTTAGTGACACCTAGGTGACAGCACTAAGCTATGGTCTTGTATTGGTTAACTTTCACTGAAATATCAACTACAACAAGAAATGTATATGTTGTTCTACTGCACCTATAGTTTACAGAAACTGCAAGAACAGAAAAATGGACCATTTGAAAAAAAAATCCAAAGAATATGATGGAGAGAATAGGACAGTCAGAAAACTGAATTCAAATCCATACATGAAGAATCTGTGAAATTACATGACTTTTTAAAAAGTGTCACAATTCAAGTCAAAACAGCATCTCCTCAATCTAATACCATGCACTATTGAACTAATTGATTATGTTTAGCTGACACCTGCTAGTTTCATTTACCAAGCCTGATTTTAAAAATAATCTTTTTCTATAAAAATATTGAGAACTATTTCACAATGCAAAGCAATAGAATCCACAATACAGCCCATAATAGAGGATTCAAAACACTTCCTGAAGGTTCCAATCTTATAAGGGATTCAATATGGCCCAGTGGATAGAGTAACCCATTAGCACTCAGGAGAGCCAGATTCTATTCCTGGCTCAGCCACTGGCCTGCGGGGTGACCTTGGGCAAGTCATTTCAGCTCTCTGTTTCCCCATCTGTATACTGGGAATAACAACGTTTATTTCATTTGTAAAGCACTTTGAAATCTACAGACGAAAACCACTACATAAGAGGTAGGAATTAATATTATTTGGACAGACATCTGTGTCCACATGTAGCACCACAACTTCAGTAGGGGGCCAACCCATGCTGAGTCATTGTAGAATTGGGGCCAAAGTGATACACCTGCTGTATTCATTTCACTACTTTTTTTTAAAATGGGATTTTTTTCCAACAGTAGGTTATCCAGGTTTACACACATGCCCATATCCAACTCTGAAGTACAATCACATAAGAAGTGGGAGGCACCCTGACAAGTCACACATGCAGTCTGATTTGCTTTTCACATTACTGTTATGAAAACACTTGTTTTAAAATACAATAGCAGGTTTGTAAACACAAACTCCAAACAACTCAACATGCGCCTCAAGAATTGCATTTGCCCCTCGCTTCCTTCCATTTCGCTGCCGAACTAACAGATGCACCCAGCCCAGCTGCAGCGTGCACAAGGGCAGCAGCCACAGTGACAGCTGGGGCAAGCGGGCTGGTTTCCTGTGTGATCGCCCCCACGTCCTGTTAAGCCAGTGCAGCACCGTACCACCTGGTGGTTCAGGGTGTAGCCAGTGAACATGGCACAGGGAGCTGGGACCCACACGCACCCCCTTGCCCGCCTCTCCGCGGGGCCAGGGCTGCTCACAGGAAGCCACCACCGGCCCCTCCCCATACACACAAGCTGTGCCCTGCTCCCCACTCATCCCTGCTTCACCACAAACACAGCCCCGGTCACACACATGCACACACACACACCCTAGTCCCGGACACACACACACACCCTAGTCCCGGACACACACACTCCAGTCCCGGCCCCTCCCCCGAGCAGGTGGCAGAGGCATCCCCGCCTAAGTGCGGCGTGCACCGGCCTCCTCTCCCGAGGCAACCCCGCTGCTCCCTGCGCCACCGCGCTCCCCCAGCGGGCTCCAGCCCCTGCCTGCTCCCCTCAGGGGCCTCCCCTGCGGGCTCCCCCAACCGCACCCCCAGGCCCAGCCTCTGCCCCCAGCGGGGGTCTGTGCTCTCCGGCCCGGCTCCACGGACTGTACCTGGACGGGGAAGGTAACGGCACCGCAGGGCCGGGGGAGCGGCCGCACTCCCCCTCACTCGCTCCCTGCTTTGCTTTGCTTTTGGGGCTTCTTCCGTGCGCGGATGACAGCTGTTTTCTGCGCATGCGCAGACCCTCCTGTAGGCACGGCGAGAACAGAAGCGACCCGGGGGCGTCACGTGACACGGGAGCCCCCTCCCACTACTATGGAGGGCCGTGTCAGGTGACCAAGGACCACTTAACCGTCCGACCGAGTATTTCCGGGAGGAGCACTGCGCATGTGTAAGAAAATGTTCGTTGCGAGGGGGTGGGGTGTGACATAAAGGGACCGTGGACAATAACTGAAACGGTCTGTGTGGCCGCCTAGAGCAGGTCACGTGAGGCCGGATCTGCTGCTGGCCCAGGAGCGGGAGAGGCAGCGAGCGGAGCTCGCTTCGGCCAATAGGAGCCGCGCGGGCGGGCCCCGCTCCGGGGTTGGCCCTCTGGGGCCGCAGCGGCCCTAGGGGTAGGCAGCCGGGCGAGGAGCCCGGCCCTGCCTGGGGCGCTCAGGGGCTGGCATGAGGGGTGCGGGGGGAGGGTGCTGTAGCACCCGCTGCTTTAAAGCGGTTTCCATCGGACACAGGGTTCCTGGTGTGGGCCAATGGCTCTCAGCACCCCCACTGTAAAACCTGTCCCAGCAGCCCTGGTAGAGCCGGCGGGTGCTCGCCGCGGGCAGCGTACAGTGACCAGACAGCAAGGGTGAAAAATCAGGACGGGGGTGGGGGGTAATAGGAGCCTATATAAGAAAAAGACCCCAAAATCGGGACTGTGCCTATAAAATCAGGACATCTGGTCACCCTCGGGCAGGGCCCAGCTTGGCAAGCCCATTAGCTGAGGGCAGATGAAGGAGGTCTGCTGGCTGCGCACATGGATTTCGGCACCTGGGTCTTAACAAATAAAAAGCTCTTATGCTTGTGGAGAAACCCTTGCAAGTGTGACCCATTCCGCGGTGTGGCCGCCCAGACAGCCCCCTGCCGTGGCTGCTGTCCACAGCTAGAGATGAAATGGAAATATGGCAATTATTTTTGTGAGAATCCTTGTTTTGTCTTTGTGCGAGGGAGCCCACCCGTCTGGGATCCACCTGTAATTGTTCTCCCAACAGGGCTCCTGGCTGAAATTGGTGACTGACTTTATTTGAGTGTTGAAACCAAATGTAGAAGTCGTCTCTCTGTTGTGGCTTTCCACAATAGTATGGCTCTCCGTCATGCACTCGTGCAGGTGTGCACGCTCACAGTCACGCTACTGGTTTATCTATTGCTGAAGCTACTACTTGACAATTTTTGCAGTGTAGCAACAGTGGCAGTTTCCACTTTCCTGCTGTCAGAACAAATGCATCTTTTAAATCTGATAAAGCTTAAACATTTATAGCACATAACTGGAAAGGTTTTTTTAAGTCAAACCTAAGTCAGGCAGTCAACCACTTTGATACAATAAGGTTACAACCATAGGCCTGTCCAGTGCGTAGAGCAGGGGTGGGCAAACTTTTTGGCCTGAGGGCCACATTGGGGTGCGAAACTGTATGGAGGTCCGGGTAGAGAAGGCTGTGCCCCCCAAACAGCCTGGCCCCTGCCCCCATCTGACCCCTCCCACTTTCCACCCCCTGACTGCCTTCTCAGAACTCCTGACCCAGCCAACCCGCCCCCTTGCTCCTTGTCCCCGACCACCCCCTCCCGCGACCCCCGCCCCTAACCACCCCCCGGGATCCCACCCCCTATCCACCCCACCCCCCGCTCCCTGTCCTCTGACTGCCCTGGCCCCTATCCACACCCCCGCCCTCTGCCCCCCCCCAAACCTCTGCCCCATCCAACCACCCCCTGCTCCCTGTCCCCTGACTGCCCTCCAGGACTCCCTGCCCCATATCCAACCCCCCCAATTCCCTTACCATGCCGTTCAGAGCAGCATGTCTGGAGCCACGCCAGACACACTGCCGCGCTGCCCTGCACAAGCGCGCAGCCATGCTGCCCGGAGCGCTGCCTGTGCAGCGGCGTGGCTGCGGAGGAGGGGGGACAGCAGGGCAGGGCCGCCAAGGGGGGGGGCAAGTGGGGCAATTTGCCCCGGGCCCCGCAGGGGCCCTGCGAGCCCTGGCCAAGAATCCCTTCCCTGGCTAGGGGCACCTTTTTAACTTTTACTCACCCGGCAGTGGTCCGGGTCTTCAGTGGCACTTCGGCGGGGGAGGAGGGGTAGCCTTCAGTCGCTCCGGGTCTTCGGCGGCATTTCGGCAGCGGGTCCTTTAGTGCTGCCGAAGACGCAGAGCGAGTGAAGGACCTGCTGCAAGCGCCGCAGCGGGTGGCGCCTTTTTTTATGTCCGCTCCCCCGCTTTGCCCCAGGCCCCCTGAATCCTCTGGGTGGACCTGCAGCAGGGTGGGGGCCGGGGGCTAGCTGCCTGGCCAGGAGCTCAAGGACTGGGCCGGACAGTCCCGCGGGCTGTAGTTTGCCCACCCATGGTGTAGAGGATGCCTCTGAAGTTTGGCCCATGGAACTGCCAAATCTAACCAGGAAGCCACAAGATATGTTATAACAGCTCTATACAGTCCAAATGGTGGTATGAATGTGGCAACATTTCTTTGCCTCTAAAATGAAAGTGCACCAAGGAAACTGATTTTTCTGCCACACATTTCTCTCACCCTGGTCAGTGCAGTTACAGTGAGAAATTCATCTCTGATGTATCTCTAGCAAGCAATTTGTTATGTTGTATGTGCCACTTTTTTTTATTCAGCTTATTAAGCCCTGCCATGTAGTGTAGTTTTATTAATTTAGCTGTACTCTTCTTGATTTAGCTTCTAAAGCACTGCTAAAATATGTAATTTTATTTTCAAGGCATTGCTATAATTAGTCTTTTTTTCCTCCTCGATGTGTAATGTGCCCTATTATCTGAATTCATTATCTACATCAATTGGCATTTCTGTAGTATCTCATTGTATTATCTAGTCACGATACATGGATTATGGAAAGCAGTGGGGACTGCTCTACATCTTTCTTGTGATATAGACTTCTGCCTTTGAGTGTGCTAGTGAGTCATTTTTTATTATACTTCTTTAGAGACTGCTGTGACAAAGAAGTGAGTCTTGCAGCATAACCTGATGATAAGGGTAGGACTCTTCCAAAACTTTCTGCCTGCTGTTGAGAAGGCTCTCCCACCAATATCTGAATTTGTAAATCGGTTCTGGTCACGTACCAGTTTACTATAATTGATGAAGTGGGTCCTGGAAAAAGTTTGAGTCCCTTAGCAAGTCAGGCCAATACTTATAAAGAATGAAGTACTGTGATGAACACGTGATCTACTAGTGTGGCCTGGTCATTTGTCTGAGACAAATAAATGGTGTTTCCTTACTAACAAATGAGAAGCACTTTTGGTGCTACCTCTATGTGAGTCTTGGGACTAAACGTAAAGCTCGTCTATTTGACTTTGTTTTTCCTCAGTAAGGAAATGGAGACTGAAGCATTTTTAGAGATGGATAGCAAAAGACAAACCTCCTGTTGGAAGTGGTCTTTAAGATATATCGCTCACTGCAAAAGATGTCTCTTATTTTAGATACAAAATTATCTCTGCCCATGTAAAGACTGGGTTCTCACTTCTATCATTGTAAAACATTATTAACGGGAATACTGTCTCATAAGATTGAAGTTATGGAAAGTATTATTTATGATCAGTAAGAGATAGTGGTACAATACTGGTATAAATTAAGGCCTCAATCCTGCAAAAAAGGATCCACTTGCATAAAACAGTTTAGCTGGACACTAGCTCCTCCAGCTGTTCCCACAATGAACTTTCCTTCCTGATGTGTTCTAATTTCACCAACAGTGAAGGAGGGGGTGGGAGCTTTCTCCTCCCCTCAACCTCCCAAGCTTGGGAGGAAAGCGAGCAGAGAGAGACAAGGGGAACAATGTCTCCCTTCATTTAACCCCTGCTCATCATTTCTAGATTGTTAGAGTGATGCCAAGGCAAAAGAGATCACTGGCTCTGCAACTCTAGATTGCTGGACTGATATCAAGTGACAGCTCTCTCTGAGGTTAACAGGCTGAACAACTGTAGCTTGATGGACTGAAGACAAGGCTGTAGACCTTTGAACGTTACTGACTCAGTGCAGAGGACTGGACTAGATGACCTGTCCAGATCCCTTCTAGTCCTGCTTTTCCATGATTCTATGACTTAGCTTTCTGGGTGTATGTCAAGGCGTAGGCCTTTGGGAGGTCATTGACTAAGCATTTCTTGCATGCTAGGGTGATGCTAAGGGACATGGCTCTGTGATGTCACTGGCTGAGCACTTTTAGCTTGATTGGCTGATTATTAAGAGAAAGGGCACAGGACTTCTTTCCTGCTGAGATGATTAATGATGTCCAAGTACAGACTTCTATGAAGTCACTGGCTCAGCACTTCTAGCTCGCTGGGCTGACATCAGGGCACAGGCCTTCTTGAGGATACTGGATTAGCAAATCTTGATTTCAGGACACAGGTCTCTTTGAGTCATTGGATCAGTACTTTTAGCTTGTGGGCTGATACTATGGCACAGGACTTTCTGAACTCACTGGCTCAGCACCTCTAGCTTGCTGGGTTGCTCTCAGCATGTATATCTGCGAGTTCACTGGTTTAGGCATTCTAATGTGTTGGTCTGATGTCAAGGCCTCTGGGGTTATTGGATCAGTACCTCTCTCTTATAGGCCTTATGGGAAGGCCTAGATTTCTGAGGAATCTCAGGCTGTATACCTCTACCTTGCTGGTGATAATGTAAAGGCCTTAGTGAGGTTACTGGCTCAGCAAACCTGATTTGCTGGACAGATGTGAAAGCACAGGTCTCTGTTTTCAGCTCATTAGTACTGCATCTGCCACCCAGAACTTCACAGATAAATGCTCCAGCATAACAGGACATAAAATTAGCCTTTCTGCCACAGTGTTCCCACCTTCCCTCTTTCAGGCCCTGTGATAATTCCTGTGCCCTTGGTCTAGAGGTTAGGAATATCTGCTACAATAACTCATATCTTTCTTTTGCCTGGAATAAGTTTTTCTGCCAGTTTGAAGCACTCCCCAGGAGTCTAAATCAGACCTCCAACACGGTAGCCCCTTGCATTC